TGTCTTCATGTACTATTGATCTCCTCCAAATGATTGCAACCCTTTTAGAAACAGACTGATTTTAAAGGGTAAGGCCTAGGCTGTAACTAGGTGTTCCTACAGCACTGCTTACCTAAGCACCACTGTTAAATTTCAACAGCATGTATAAGGTACCACTTAGCAAGCACTGACAGTCTTACTTGAACAAATGCCTTCTATCAGAGCAGCTTTGTGAAGCTGTTGAAATTTTGTATGTAATACAACAAAGTACAGCTGAATTCTCTGTATCTATGTATATACACACACATTTTCCTGCTCTTTTTATGTACTGCACTTCCTACCTCCTTTTGCTTTGTAGTATCTAAATATACCTTCTTTGCCACATTTTTGCCCTAGAGGTAAAAAAGGATTATAGCTGAGTATAAGAATAATGTGGGTGCAAAGATGCATAGGTCTTCAATGTCATATAATTTGCTGCAGTTATGAATGTTTATGTGCAAATATCTTTTCCTAATTAAGAAGCAAAAATCTGAGTACAAGACTCCACATGGGAACCTTTTTTATTTTCACAGGTTAATCAGTAGGAGCAGAAAACTGGTTAGATTTTGGTTGATTCTAATGTTGGTGTGTTTTTTCAGGAAGGGTGTAGGTACAATGTCATGCATGTTGCTGCTAAGGAGAATCAACCTGGTATCTGCCAGTTACTGCTGGACACTTTAGAAAACCCTGAATTTATGCGGCTCATGTACCCGGATGATAACGATGTCATGTTGAAGAATCGAATCCAGTACATTGTTGACCTTTACCTTAACACTCCGGATAAAGGGGTAAGGCTGGGTGCTTGCCTGGTTTTATTGTTATGGAAATCACGGGAAGGTGTTAAGGATGTGTAAGGAAGGTGACAAGAGAACTGGAGGGGATGTTTGTAGCTAAATGAGCTATTCATGGGTCTTGTGGGTCTTAGAAGTCAGTATTTCAGAGTATGGTGGGAAAGGATCTATTAAGAGCCCAGATGACTTGTCATGACAATTATTTACCTTTCCCAGTCTCAAAATGTAATGTGTGGTATTATCCTCTTTCTAAATGCATGCAAATTTTTCCTTTTTTTCCCACTGCAGGGCTTTGATACTCCATTGCATTTTGCCTGCAAGTTTGGCAATGTGGATGTTGTTAACGTGCTTACCTCACACCCAGCTATTGTAAAAAACCCAAGAAACAAATATGATCAAACTCCAGCAGAAGTAAGTCTCTCCACGTACACAACAAACCCCAAAATGCCTAGTCAGTAATTTTCGTGTTCAAACGTTTGCTGAGTACTGCAGATAGAAGGCTTGTAGTACTAGTGCCATGACTAGAGTGTAAATTCTTTATAACACTAAAAATATTTTATGTTGATTGTGGAAGAGTTTTAGGTTATATAGATGTGGACATATTTTAGTGGTTTGGTCTAGTGTGAATTAAAAGTACTGGATGAGATGGATAGAGGCCAATAATGTGACTGTTCAAGAAGAACAGAGATTGCAGTTGATTTGAAAATGAACTCTCATGGTTTCCTAACAACTAAAATTATATTAACAGGTAGTTTGTGAAAGAAGCAAGAATAAATCTGCAGAATTGAAAGAAAAGCTAAGAGAGTACTTGAAAGGTCTGTATGCAGAGTTTTATACTGTATTTTGGCTCTTTGCTGTTTTCTGTTTGCTTCCTGGAGCATTTTGGTTCATAAATGTTGCTGCTGTACAGTGTTGTGAAAACCAAAGGGAAACCTTAAAACTGAGCAAAACAGAAAACTTTTGTCTTTTAAGTGACACAGTCAGAGCTCTTAATGTATGGATCACAAGGTTGCCCTCATGGCTCTGGTCTGTTGGCACAGCCCTTACTCAGCAAGCCTGGAGCAGAATGGTTAACCTAAGACACAAAAGCCCTTTACAGAGCATGAGATGTATGTGTCGTGTAGTTTCTTTGATACAGAAATTTCACTGGTTTGTCACGTGTGTTTAGGCATTTGCAAAAGGTTTTGAGATTTGTGTAAGGTTCTGAGGGAAGGGCTCTGTGTGTCTTTGCAGTATTTTGTCCCTGAGGGAGCCTGCACTAAAGCATGAGCTGTCAGCAGGCAGTGAGCACTGAACCAGGGAGTTTGAATTGCAAGCAGTTTTACTCGTGAAATAAAGTGAGGTGGTTAAGTGTATGGGTGCATTGATGTTTCAGAAGAAGCAGCAGGCTAATGGAACAAACCTCTTAAGAAAGCTTTGTATTACTTATTTTAGGCCAATACTATGTACCACTCCTGAGAGCAGAAGACAATTCCTCAGCTCCCATCATTGGCACCCCATGGTCACCTGATAAGACAGACGATGGCCCCCAAAGAACTTCATCGAAATACCCTGGCAACCCCAAAGATCCAGTGTTGTCCATAAGAGCTTTTGCAGGGCCCATGAGCCCCTCAAAGGTAAGGAGAGTATTTCATATGGCTGTAATGCCTATTTTTTTTCCTCAGTAAAGACGTATTAGAAGATCCACCTTGTCCTTGTGTGGTGTGGCATACTCCTGGTATAGACTGTGGCTCTTTTTCTGGAGGAGGTGGGTCTTCCTCCTTGGCAAAGAAGAAGCACAGAAACTTTTAAATATGTTTTAATTGCTGAGAAACAGAAACATGGTGCAAATAGAAAGAGTTGAAGTTCAGTCAAAATAAAGTTGTTCTTTTCAATTTATTCAAAGAGCATCTTTGGCAAATGTTTCCATGTCTTACAGCTAGTTGCTGTAACTTCTTAACCTGAAGCAAAGCCTTTCAGTGGAGCAATGATTAGGTGAAAATCCTTAACTGTGTCTCTGTCTCATTTCTAGAAATTGCCACTGGATGTTAGAAGTTCTTTATCACGTCTATAGGTTGAGTTAATTTCTATATTTTTCTGAGTGGAAAAATTGACGGCCAAGCAGTAGGTGTTGGGGTAGTTTTGGAGAAGTATTAATTGTATAGTAGAAAATAAAATCTTGAGGTTTCAGGAGGAATACTAGCTACTTGGTAAATATCTTCTAAGCCTGTAGGTGTTTCTTTGATTCATTTGGCTACTATGAACACACTGGAAGTATGACAGCTTTAGAAAGGGTGAAAAAATACAGTGGAGGACTTCATGTCAGCTGATGTTTGCATTCATCAAGGCTGATGCTTAATGCTTTTTCTACTAAATACTCTTTATTGAACAATTTTCTGTTCACCTGTCAGAAATTTAAATCTCTCTTATCCTCGGAAAAATATTACTTAGGGTGTAAACAGTTCATCATTTTGATTGCTGACAGGTATTTTTAATGTCTGAGTGTAATTCTTAGTCATCATTGTGACTTTGTCATATGAAGTTTTAAAGTGTGGGATTTTACAAAAATTCCCTTGAGGCCTTCAGACTTCAAAATGGACAGCAAAAATATATGCTAATAATTGGAGCAAGTTGTGCATATAAAAATAGCCTTTTTGCATCCTAGAAACCAGTGACCAGGAGAGCTTTTGTGATTAAATAAAATAATAATGACATGGCAAAATTACAAGACACTTCTGTTTTCTGCTGCACACAAAACCAGGCAGGTGTGTATCTGTACTTTGTCTTTAAGGTGGTTGTACATTTTAGTCCTTCTCTTTTGATGAGCAGTTAGGAGATGAAACTAACCAGTAATACTGGGAGGAGTAACTTTAGGCCCAGTGAGAGATCCTTCACAGCTGGAGCTGAGCAATAGTTATGGCAGAAGTTGATCTCTTCACCTGAGGACAGCAAACAGCTAAACATCTAGACTTGTAGGCAGACATTTAGCCAGCACTGAGCTGCTTCATATTGTGGGAGGCAGGTTTTTTGATTTCTGTCTATTCTTTAAAGGCTGAGGAGTTTCGCAGGCTTTGGAAGACTCCACCTCGAGAGCGAGCTGGCTTCGTCCACAACGTCCGGAAATCTGACCCGGAGAGAGGTGTCGAAAGGGTTGGAAGGTATCTAAAAAGTATCAGTCTAAAAAAAATAAATAATAGAGCAAGTAAAAGCAAAAGACTGTGGTGAGAGCACAGTTAATTACTTACTGAACTGTATCTCGGGGCAAAAGTTACTGCAGAAATATTTAATGAAGTGCATTGTAGTTGGATTTTTGCTATGTTTTTGTGTAAACAAAATAGCTGAAATGTGAGAGCTCTTAGCTTTGGCAGTAAAGATATTTTAACTTTTATTGGTGGTATATATGGAATGCTCTTCTCAAACATCCACTTGCCTAACTTGTCAGGAGGTCTAAAGTTAGGCATAACCTCCTTGTTCTGTGAGTGAGGGGTTGGGGAATGGGAGCAGAATGATGCTAACACGAATGTGTGGCTTTGTAGAGCTCTGTGTGGGGTATGTCCTTGCTGTTAGAATACCTTCTATCAGCAATATATGGGACAAACATACTTGGTTCAAAGTTGACTAGACTTCATTCTTTAAAATAACTTCTGCCATTACCAAACAGAAAAAGCTGTTGGACAGACTATCATTCAGATTAGGCCTCCATCAGTACAGATTCATGTCTGATGTCTGGATACAGATAGCAATGCTGGATACAGATAGCAATGCTTGTGGTGCTAACTGTAAGAACAGTAGATTAAATTTGAAAAATACCCTAGACCGAATGAGATGATGCTTTGTTTGCTAAGGATGTGTGTGTGCTTTTCAGACTGTTGATTGTTGCAGAAATATATTGCCTAGTTGCACATTTGTGCTCTTATTCATAGCTGATAAAATGTGATCAGAAAAGTTATTGTCAAACTGCTATTGATGTCTTCACAAATGATTCGTTTTATTTTATTTATTGCAGGGAGTTAGCTCATGAGCTGGGGTTCCCATGGGTTGAATACTGGGAATTTCTGGGCTGTTTTGTTGATCTGTCTTCCCAGGAGGGGCTGCGAAAATTAGAAGAGTACCTGAGTCATCATGAAATGAGCGAAAAGGCTCAGCAAGAAACAGGGGAAAATGAAACCTGCAATAGATATAAAACTCCACATCCCTCTGGTAAGAGAAGGGAAATGCTGCAAACAACAAGGTTGTACCTAGGGAGAAGAGGGAGAGCAAAAGCTTCGTGCCCAGGGGAATCAGTGCTCACCTGTTGTGGTTGCTGTTATTAATCTGTTATCTAGAACTCTAATAATAGCGTTAAAAAAGTAGTCAACAACACTGTGAAGGTAGGAGAAGTGCAACAGACTTGATTAGATGTTATTTTCCTTTCACGTGAAGTACTTTATTTGATTGTAGCACCCAAATGAAATCCCTGTAAGAAAACCTCTCTCTTCAGTATGTTTTCACTCAGAGCATTTGGGAATTTATCTTAAAGTGTAGAATTTTGTAATCCATAGATATGGAATAAATTTACAATTAAAGGTGAAAGACACAATGAGCAAAATTCAGGCTTCTTAGACCACTCCACTGCTTGCCATGTGTTTGTGGAAGGCAACATTAGTCCCAAATCTTCGTCCTCCTCCCTCCTTTTCTGTGTGCTTACAGATCCAAAGGGACTCTGGTACTGGGATAAACCTGACCTAAGACCCTGAAGGATAGTCATTGGACTAGGCATAAGCCTTTGTGCTTTGGAAGAGATGAAACCTTAAGCTATTCTCTATTAGTAACATTTTCCTGCCCTATTCTGCCTTATCCTGACTTTATCCTTTATTGCTGGTTAGTGATGGAAGTGAGGAGTGTAGGAAATGGAGTTCTCAAGTGACTGGGATAGGAAAGGTTATTGGCAGAAAATATACATCTGCAGTGCTGTCGTTTGGCATTTGTAGCTTTAGGCAGGTTAGTTCATGCTGTTCTTATATAAATAAAATTAGGGCTTCAGAAATAGGATAAGGCCTAAAGATCGAGATTTGTTCCTAGTTTGTATACTTGTGTTCTGGTGAAAGTCCTTATATCTCTTGTTTTTATTAAAATTGTTATAGGCAAGAGTAAAAAGTCCTGCAATTCCATTTCTGTGGGAGCATTTTTGGATGAGGATGATGATGACATGAGCTTAGAAGAAATTAAGAACAGGCAGAATGCAGCACGGAACATCAGCCCACCTGTGGTGTCCAAGGAACCCAGCATTGCTGCCATTGGAGATGCTGGATGTGACATCCTGTCAATGGAGCGTGCAGTGAACATCATGGAAACGTCGCGTCGCCCTCGGCACTACGAGAAGGCAGATTCTGCCAGCAAAAATGGGTTCTGTAACACGGTGTCCAGTGAAAGGATAATCAGTGACAGGAAGCACAAAGGAGGAGAATGCCTTGTATCGCCCGTTTCCAACTTAATGTCAGAGTTTGAAAGCCTGTCATTCCAGGAGCAAGAAGCTGCAGGAGTATCTCATCAACTCCCTGAAAAAACTGGGAATGAGGGAATTCTGGACAACACCTGCTATGCAGCATCACTGGCAAGTTCTCAGCCAAGTGTTACAGGTGAACCTGGAGAGACCAAGTTAAGGACAGAACACAGAATTCCATTAGAAATGGAGAGACTGTCCATGGAATCTGGAATTCAGGCTAAGGAGGCACAACAACGTCAAGGACATTTTTCACAGAAGCTTCTTTTGAAGGCTTCACTCACAAATGGCAACTCTAAGTTATTCC